CCGCTATATATATAAGCTACAACAGTTTCCCAAAATTTAATTTTTTGTTTTGCTATGAGTATCCCGTTACGATCCTCAAGTTTCTGGTATAATATTTTTCAAAACCAGCCGCCATTTTCACAGATAGTAGGATCCTCCTAGCAGACTCCCATTTTTTAAAAAATAAACGCTATATATACTTTTTAAAAAAATCTTCATACTTATATTCATATAATATAATTATTACTCTAGATTTTGTGATGCAACAAACGAACATCTGTCCTTAATTTGTTTCCTTCATTTTATTTAAACCTCTATTTTGACTTACGCTATTGACATTTGAGTACTTGGGACTTCGTTCCAGGACAATATTGGTAGATATTTTGATTATAAGTGCACTTATTAAAATCCTTACTTGTCTTCTTCAGTAAAATGATAAAATAGCTTTGTTTTATTTTTTTACTTATAGCTCATTGTAGAAAATTTAAGAAGAAGATCCTGAAGGCGGTGGACGGGCCCCGTCAGAGGATGTCAGGGGAGTAAGATTAATGTCGTAGAGGCTCCACAAATCCCTTTCAGGGCTAATTACTTGCGAATGCAGCTTGAGTAATCTCCATATCGCCCTTATTAGGCTCTCTCATAAATTGGTATCCTGTCACTTAGCTAAGAGTGTTTCTTTATCCCAACCCTTATTATGGCAAGAAAAAGTCTAAGGAGTATCCTGGATCTAACTGTAGCTTTCATTCCTCAAATGTCGGTTTACTTCTTAGCAGAATCTACACTATATATAATACGGTATTAAAGAGTCCATTTCAGGCTCACAGGAGCCATTGATTTCGATAAATTAGTTTTTAAACGAAAATTTCATGGAGAAGTGAAGAATCTTAATTTCCAAACTAAAAACATTACAATGAATACAATAAAAAAGTAGGAGATTTAAAAAATATATATGTTATCAAAAGTGAAGGATCGAGGAAGAATAAATTGTCTTTAAAATATTTGTATATAAATAGCCTCATGCCCACCTATAAAGATTGACCATAACTCATTGCCTAAAAACACTATGCACGGAACTTCAGACACTACTAAGACAAAAGACTTACCTAAAAGATGAATAATATATTAAAAATACAAGAACCGTCTACGAAATACAACCAACTATCACAACTACAGATCCTCACTTAACTTACGAAACATGAGACTGATCTACAACACGATACTGAGACCAATTGACGGAGCAGAACTATACTCAGCAACAAACACAGATAAAATATAAATGACACCATAAAAAAAAACTATACGAAAAATTTTCAACGCACCTCGGTACATTAATATAACACCATACATCTACGACAAATACACTTAATTTATTTTTCAACTGTAAATCACTTCAATATATTAGTCCTTCATATTTCCTGCTCCCTATCACCTGATTGATGCAGACTAAATATAAAATGGCCAAGAGACCTACTCGTAGGAAACCACACATCTCCCAAATTTCCGCCGTACTGTATCCACCCTGAAACTGTTTAACCATCTACGTTATCCTCTTCCGTTCAGAACCCGTCAACTCCTGGTCTCCTCTCTTGTTTTCCCCCACTTAAAAACCTAAGCTGTAAAAACCTCAAAGTACGCCCAGATACTCTGATTATTTTGTGATTCATCGATATTTCGTTTACTTAATTACTTTCTCTGTATATTTATATTTACACGTTTTTATATATTTTTATTATTTATAACTTTATTGTATTCCTAATCCACCTGTAAAGATTAAATTGTATTTTATGGACACACCAAAATATTAATATAGATTCTGCATTTGTAGCTTGTTCTTAGGGGACACAAGTCCCAGAATAATAAAATTAATTTCGTTCATTCACTCATTCCTACAATAATAACACAAACAAGCTAACTCGCAGCTAATGATTAAAGGCGGAAATCCACTGAGGTAACACTGAATGACATGTTGCTTGATACTTGTTTACTAGTGTTACCTATTGTAGCCATCCGACTATGTTGCACAAAATTGATTAATGTCGTATGCGCAATTTGTTGCCCCACATCGCATGCGCTTTGTCGTACACTTGTTAAACTTGCTACTATAGCGATTCCATTCAGACAACTTCAATGTGTAAATCATGTCATTTCAAACAGTCGTGGCAGCTACTTATTTGGTAATCTCTTTGAATCGTAAAAGGAAAAGAAAACACCACGATATCGGAGAAGAGAGCTATAAATCGATGGTCAAGAAATTCGGTTTAATTTAATATTTTACGCTTGAAGAGTTGTGGAAAATTGATTTTAGTCCGAAAGGCGGTTAGAAAAAATCGGCATTATTTGATTAAAACTTTAAAAGAAGTTTTTAAAAATATTTATATTTAAAAAATCAATCTTTCTATCAGATCTTGCTAAATGCAAAAATAGCGGCTGATATAAAAAATATCAGTCCAGTTACTTGAGGATCGAAACGGAAAATGCGTAAAATGTGAGAAAAGTTTTTTTTTTTTATTTCATATAAGGATTCAGAGATGTTAAAAACAGGATAATGAGGTACAAAAAAACAAAATTTTATGAAGAAATTAGGAATCCCGATTCGAGAAATATAATTGATCTATATTAGAACTGTTAGTACTCAGTGGACGCGGATGCTCCTTAAATTTTATTCTATGAGTTTTTCTCTTAGAAAACTCATTCCCAAGATGCAGCACCGCTTCTATCTTTTCGTCTGTTTTTCACGCATTTTGGTAAAAATCGACGTTTTTTGGCCGCGGTAAACGAACATAACATTTAACTAACTTATTAAGGATAGATACTGGTGGTTCGACGCACAATTTAACTTAATTGAATTTATGAAAGAAAAGTTTTTTCGCCTTGTTGCACCGTTTAGGTACTATAGGTGAAAAAAACAAAACAAAAAAAAAATACCAAAATAATCTGGCTTTTTTTGGTTGTAAAAAAGTTTTCCTTGTTTGCCCGCGTCAGCAATTTTGTTTTTATATCTCTCAACTAATATATACAAGTTAAAAAAATAAAAACTTTTCTAATATTTTTTACAATGAATTTCACGATCCTAAAGTTACTGTCCCAATATTCATTAAATCAGCCGCAATTTTTACGGGAAGTAATATCCGACTGGCAAATATTCATTTTTTAAATAAAAGTGTTATAAATATTTTTACAAAATCTTTTAAAATTTTCATCAAATAATATCATTTTTTTTCTGATTGGATCTAGGACTATATGAGTTACTAGCTTGTGCATTTCGTGTCATAATTATATTCAACCGATAAGTTTTTAACTTATGGTTTTTAAATCTTATATCTTTGTATTCGGCGGTTTTATTATTCCCTAATTCGGTAGAATTGTTGTAATCTTCAATAAAAGACGCAGTTTTTTGTTCGTCCAATCCATGTTGGTAGCAACAAGCTGCACCAATCCGAGGGTTGTTGGATAGACGGCGACACTGTTCGCGCCAATGCCGCATGCTACATGCCTAAAAGTTGCCTTAGTGGAATCTCGCCTTAATAAATCAAATTTGCTAGGTGTGCTGCAGCGCAGGTGCAAATGTTAAAAATGAAATAAAATATTTTTTTATGGCGCGGACATAAAATTATAGTCCTAAATTATATTGTGGTTATAGTGAATCTTGATGCCACGGTTGTCATGAATTCATAATAACATTAAATTAAAATATCTTTATATACCATTTGCGAACACGGAAATTTAGATCATTTGTAGTGTACAGGAAACGTATTATGATTGACAGCCAGAATGATTATAAAATACTAGAATGATTCGAAAAAAAATTTTTTTCTCTAACCGGTCAGAAAAGAGATGCTTATCGAGAAATAGGCCCCGAAATAAACAAAAGGCCTGTCTCCATTTTCAATTAAAGTGAGTTGATGGAGACCGCTCTTGGTGGAACTTTCTGATCAAATGCTCAATTTATCGCCCGTCTTTAAAGCATTACCTTTCCCTTTCAAATTTCCTCTCTTCAGTCCTCTTTTTCTTTGAGGTAGAACTTTGAAATTCCTATTGACTTGTTTACAATCTCTTCAGTTCTTTAACAAAAAAAATATATATTCGTAAATGCTTATTTCATTTGAAGAAGGTAATGTGATTTGTCTGGATAGAGTGTATGTAATTAGTTAAAATTCGATGAAATGAATAAAGAAGTTTTCCTATGTAGTTCATAAATATACATATATATGGAATTCTATGGTTCAAAAAGACATGTGGAGTTACGGGGTCGAATTGTTTACAGTCGATATAACAAATATGGTTTGTGCTATTTTGATGGCCTTAATGAGGTTTTTATAGGTTAGATCTAAGGTTGAAGATTTATCTCCGTTAAAAATACCTCTCAAAAACTTTGTAATAGTCCAACTTTTCTAGAAAATATTTCCTGTTCAATGTAAAATGATAGGTGAAAGTTGTGTGACGCGTGCACCAGAATTCGGTGCTAATGAACAAAAGTTGCTTTATCTACAATATCAGAGAAATTGCCATTTAATTATTAATTATTATTGATAATATTTTTTTTCTATTTTTCCACATACGTCTAATCTCTGTTAAAACCGGAGGCTTCACATTTGAGCTTGTGAACGATTTTGTTTATTTGGCTCTCAAGTGAACTCCGACAATAATATACAGCAAGAAATTAATAAATGATAAAAAATTAATATTAATTATTTGATATTATTAATAAATATTATAAAAATTAATATACGCTAACAGATGCTATTTCGGACTACAAGAACATTTAAGAAGTATATATCTCTCAAGGTAAACTAAAGTGTAGCTTTATAAGAAAGTCATAAGGTCTATTCTTACCCATGTTTCCGAATGTTGAACGATCTCTCGAGCTCAAGAACTAATGCTCCTAAGATTCTAGAGGCGGATCCTTAAGAGAATCTTTAGGCATATGTTCAGCGATAATGTTTGTTTTAAACATAACTAATGCTGAAATAATTGATAATAATACAAATATCGTCAGATGCATAAGGATTGGAAAGCTTCGTATGGCAGGCCATGTTGCTCTAATGAAGAATGATGGAGACCCGAAGACAGTTTTGGAAGAAAGTCTGTACGTCTTGGGAATAAGGAATAAGGAGGCAGTGGTAGCGAACCGACTGCCGGTGGATGTTGCGAGAGACCTTAACTTACCACTGAGATGTAGTGCCGGAAGAAGAATAAGTGATCTCTGTTACTGAACTAAAAAAAAAAAAAAAAAAAAAAATAGAAATTCAAAACATAAAACGTCTCCATGACGTCAAATTCAATTTTTTTTATTCTACTTCGATTTATATAAGAACTAAAAAATATCTATACTAAATTTTTAAAATTATTTTGAGGTATAAAACTTACATTATATAAGGTGAATACTACTAGATGATCCTTTCTTTTCCATGCAACTTTAATTAAGTAATTACCATTTGCATTAACGATTTATAAATCACGGAATATTATTTATTCAACATTAGTAAGCATTGCTGCTAACGTTCTGTAGTGGCCGAGAATATCCACTACAGATTTAGCTTCGCCAGTATCTCTATCCCCCAGTAGGAGGGGAAGGGGGTTACAGCTATTGCATTCTAAATAATACATGATATTCTAGTTCCTCATCCACATTCCCATTTTAAATGAAACTTCAGAAATCTAACGTTCGGGTATAAAACCCTGTTTCTTTTATGGTTCTTATGAACTATTTATTTAGTACCATGCCATTATTTAAATAGTATATACACGTTTCTGTGTGGTTCTTTTAATGCGTAATTTATGCATTAATTTTTATACAGTTATTTATTTCATTTTATTACTTTTTTGTTTCATTCATCATCTCACTGTATAACATTATAGATTTTCTGTGACTGTGAAATTGTTTTATAAATCGGTTTTCATTTAACTGCAGGTTGTTCAATGAATGCTAGTAAGTTTTGGATTACTACGTATTGTTGTTGTTTTTTTAAACTTCATTGTGTAATATTTACAACTGATTAGAAAAAAAAAAAAATATATCTATTAAATGTGAAAAATAAATATGATGACATAAAAACAGTACTTCAGAAACTTAATACTGGTAACAATCTAATAATATGTCTATGTTAGGAGATCACGGACTCTTTCAAGTAGCTTCCAAGGTTTACCAGGAATCGAAAAGGAAATAGGGCTAGAAACTTGTGGGTTCTGATAGTTCTGAAGTTTATTATAAAAACTTCTATTATAAAAAAAAAAAAGGTCGCTATGGATTATTTTATTTGCAACAAAGTAAGAAGGATTGAGGATTTTACAAAAGACTTTGGATTATAAGGATTGGATACAAGAGGTGGTTTAGTGGAGCCCCATGGTTCAAGTCTAGATAGGTGTTATTGTAGAAAAGAATAGAATAGAAAACAATTTTATTCTGGGACGAAGTCCCTTTAGAATAACAAAAAAGTACAAAAATTAAAATATTATATCTGGCCAAATAAAAACAAACATAAAAAGTAAAATAAAGAGAAATAAGTAAAGAGAATATAACTTAAACATACTAGATACAAAAAAAAACGATATAAAAAACTCTTAAAACCCTGCCAAGACACTTAAAATTATGTACTGTGGTAAAATATAAAAATACAATTTTCGAAAAAATAAAAATACATTAAATTCTTCTTAGCAGTAAACTGTGTTTCTGTTGAAAAGAAAAAGAAAAAAGAAAGTCGAATCTGATAGTAAGTATTTAAATGATAAGTTATATGTAAATACATCATTATGAATAATATGTAATTATACATAAAAGGTTACCGGATATCTGACTGTTTTTGGAACAGGAATTGGAATAGGAGGGTTTTAAATGCAGATAGGGAGGAATAATGACGAATTTTGATAGGAAGGGAATTCCAGAAATTAACAGAGCGAACAATAAAGGAGTTGGAACGAGGTAGATCTGTGAGAAGGAATGTAAAGTTCGGAAAGTCGAGATCTTGTGGAAAGGGAGTGGACTGTGGACTTGAATCGGAGAAGGTTGTAGGAGTAAGAAGGACGATGATTGTTGATGATATGATAGAGGAACGTACCTAGGAAATATTGTCTTTGAATGGAGGGGAAGAGCCACTTTAACTCAGTGTAGTGGTGAGAGACATGGGAATATCTCGGGGCACCAATTACGAATCTCACACAATTGTTCATTAATCTTTTCAGTCTGTCATGGAGCTCCATCGAGATTCCATCGTACACAACACAGACGTATTCAAAGTGGGTGAAGATAAGAGAGGAAACCAGGAGTCTACGCGTATGTTGAGGTAGGAGATGGCTGAAGCTATGGCACAGTTTAGAATTATAATATTATTTATGAATCTTTTGTAATTAATTGAAATCTTAGACCTTTGTCTAGTAAGTAGTTGGAATCGTTGAACGGTTTCTTGTCGTTTCAGTCTGGTATGAGGATTCTAAGTTAGATGTTTGTCCAGGCGGAGTCCTAGGTAGTGGAGCAAGGTAAAGTTGTGACAGTCGTCATATTAACGAAACTTACAGGGTTATTGGGAAGAAAGGGATGCTGTACCTGTCTGAACGGATTTAACAATATTGCTAACGCATTTAATTTAACATCGATGATATTAATGCTAGTAGATGGTTGTAGATGACAGTAGCCTTCATTACTTTTTAACAGATAAAAGCAACTATTTTTATTCTATTTCTTTGAATAATTGTTGTTATATATATGATGATGGAGTATTGAACATTTTTCACCCTTATAAGTTAATCATTAGTTGTAATCAGTGGTTACCTTGTACGTAGATAATTTTATATTGCCGAGGTAACATTTTTTTGTGAAGGAGAGCGTTGGGTAAGGCTGTGACATAATAACATTGTGATACATGCAATTTGTTTTTTTATTTTACATACCCAGAAAACGCTTGAGAAAGACCTAAAGTTGTTTCTAACACAAATCCTTATGACTTATTAGTTATAATTGATTAAACTAGTCTATAATACATATTATATAAAACAATAAAAGGGGTTTTATATTATATTGGTGCTTTTGAATCTGTCATTGCCGATTCCAATCACTATCACTACCGTCTTTGTGGTGGAGTAGAGTCGGTTGTTACATCTTCCTTTTTTTTTTTTTTTTCTAATTTGCTCCTATGAAATAGCCATTGTATTTTTAGTCGAACGAAATTTTAGTATTTATGATTATTTGAAATGAAATGCAAATATTGTTTTATTACCCCTTTAGAGTGTGAATGTTATCTGTGAACACTATTATAAATATCCTTGAGACAGATTGTAATATTTATCAATAAATAAGTTTTTAAAAAATTTGTCCCTTTAGTATAAATTATAGATACGGAAAAAATGCCTGTGTGGCCCTACATCAAATTAAATCTCATTAAAATTAAAATTTTTTAAGAAGAAAAAATTTAAAACGAAAAAATACTAAGAACATGCATATATATTTAAAACAAACATGGGAAAATAAAATAACACAAGTAAACAAAATCATTCCTGGAGGAACTTAACAAGTTCTCTTATCTACATTTCGTGATCAGTTGAGTGGGAAATGGATTAGACGATTAAAAAGGGGAGATTTAAATGAGGAAATTGATTTTGCATGTCGGATATCGGGAGCCATGGTATCTTAGAAGGAAACGGCTTGAAAAGGATTTGTCAAACGCAGCAGTTCGGTGAGGAGGTGGATAGAGGTCGGAAGTAAGGGATCTAGTAGGACGGGATTGAATGGAATATTTAAATTGTAGGCAGTGGAAAATATAGGAAGGACGCTGAGTTCTGATGGCTTGGTATAGAAATGTAGCAAGGAAGTAAAGACGGTAGTTGGATGAATAAAGCCAATTCAATAAGGAGTATATACTGGGTTATATGCGTATCCCTTGAGATTCCGTAAACGAAAGTACGGGGCAATTCATTGGGCCTTTAAGTTTGGTCTCGAATTCTCTCGAAAGTCCGCCGAGGAGGTGACGGGATTTATATGGAAGGAGATAGCGGATACGGTTACTCTGTTTCAGGGTAGAGGTAGTACGACGGGAAATTTGGGAGATGTGTGGTTTCCAGGAGAGGATTTGATCAAATGTAACACCAAGTTTTTTTTTACGAAAGTATGGAATGAGATAGGTTAGTTGTTCAGGAAAAGATTGGGGAGTGTCAGTCAGGATTTGAGGAGTGAGGGTGCTACGATCAGGATGGCTTTTGTCTTCTTGGCGTTTAGAGTAATCGTATTGTTGTTTGACCTAGCTCAAATTTCGTTTATATTTTCCTGTAATTTTTGGATGATTCGGTCGGACTAAAGGAGAGGTAAATCTGTTTGTATGTAAATTTGTGTATACACTTTACGACAAAAGACTACTTTCTTCTATCTAATTAGTAACTAACAAAATTGTGGACGATTAAAGTAAAATCCTGCCCAGTCTTCCCTTGAAGTATAATGAATGGAAGTCATAGGTAACGACGAGGAGTGAACTTGATTTGATAGAATTTATTATAATTTATTTTAATTCTTTCAGATTCGACACCGTTTTTAAAGGTTTGTGATGAGTGATTGAATGTTTTATAATTACTTATTGTATTTCTACAGGTAAAAAGGAAAGCCTGACTGCAAGAGGGGCGGCCGAGATGTGGTACTCCAGCTTCGACGAGTACCAAAGGCTGACAGAGCCGACGTTCGATAACAACACAGTTGTCAACAACACTGTGCAGCTCGGAGGGACAGCTTTCCTCCACTGCAGAGTCAGGAACCTCGGCGAGAGAACGGTAAGTACAATATTTTCTTGGATATATTAAGTTTTCTTGGAATGAGTTTTATATATTTCATAAAGAGTTAATTTTATTACTAATTTCACTTATGATTTTGAATCGAAAAGTTTAAATACCCTAAATATCGAGTTCTTATACTAGCAGAATTACTTAAAGTCTTTTAAGATCGAACTGACTGGCGACGGGGAGATAAGACTATCGCCGATGCTGCTCATTAAAGCACTGGAGAGTGTGCTAAGAACACTAACAGCAAGTACTATTCTTCCTCGTGCCATACGTGCAATTTTTCTAAACAATAACAACACCTGCTTATTGTCGAGTTCATTACAGGTGAGGATGAAGATATAAAGAGAAAGAAAAGGTTTAACCGTTATATATTAATTCCGGATTGTTAAGTTTCATAAAAAAAAAAATTACCCTTTACTTTAATCTTACAAACTCCTTCAGATAAATAAAATAAAGATAAAAATCATTGACAATGACCGACAAATTTTTATTATTCGATTTTTTTGCATTCAACGTATCTTTAAACACATATTATTAAAATTTTCAGAGTATTTTTTTTTTATCTTTTAATATCAGTCTGCATCTGTTGACGACTGTTGGCAATCAGGAGATGGTCTAATTAAAGTAAAGTAACTGACGTGTCAGTCATGGGGAAGGATAGCATCCAGCAGTACCTCTTCTCTGACTTGATCAATTACCATGGTTTGTTAAGGAAGGAGGTCTCTCATCCAGCGCCTTTTTAGTGTTCTCCTTATATTTATGGGTATGTCAGCTGAAGTCCCTGTGAATTATTGTGAAATCGATTTTACAGAGTTCTTATGTGTTGTTCAACTGTAAACAGGAGGAAGTCTGTATGCAAGGTTTTGTTTGTCATGTCCCAAGGTGCTTTAGTTATAAGTCGTAATATATTTGATTGGAAAGTTTGAAGTTTGTGTGTCTTTTTAGTTATACCGTATGTCTGTGAGGAGTAACTCCAGATTGGTTTTACTAAGTATAGGTATGTATTTAGTTTCTGTCTCAGTTCTAGTTTTGAAGATATGGAAAAAAGTGAAGAAAGTATTTTGAGTCGTCTATTGAGGATCTTCCGTTTCATTTTGAGATTTGGGCCCCATGCCATCCTTTTGTCAAAGGTAATACCAAACTAGTGTACCGTTTCCGTACCTAAATTGAAGGACATGTATTTCTTTAAAGTGTAAATATAATGTGTTTCAATTTATCGTAGTTTAGTCGAATTTTCCATAATTTATACCAATCCTGCTAATTTTGTGGGGTCCTGGTGTTTTGTCAGAATCGCTGTGTCGTCAGCATAAGTAGCAATCAATGTACCATTGTTAAGAGGTTTGTCGTAAGTGTATAAAATGTATTGGGTCTTTTATTTATTTTTTTCAATGAAGAATAGGTTATGAAAATACAAGGCATAAAACTATCAATTTTTTTCTGAAGCATATTTGCAACGATAATTACCGTTAAAGGAATTTAGCAAGGATCATCGTCATGGATAACCGATGCCTCACTCATTCATACTCACGTAGCCTAAAAGAGTGTTTCCAGCTTCATAACGTCCAACCAAGAAATATCTTTCTGTTCCTTCCAACCCCATGTTTCTGAATAAATAAATTCAGTTCAAAATATTTTTTATCAGTTTTTATAAATACATGTTCATAAAGTACAGCTGAAAGAGTGTTGACAGTATCGCGTTGTATCAAATTAACCAAAGATTTAATTAGTATACGAAAAATTAACTAAATATATGTTGATTAAACTATATAACATTTTTTTAAAATATTGATAAGAGAATTTTTATGAGCTATTTGATGATGAAAAAAGATTAATGGATATAAATTAGCATTATTGCAACCCATAATTTATACAATAAATAATATATAAATATATATACTTATATAAAAAATGAGTAACCAATTTAAAAGTGAAAATAAAAAAAATATAAATGAAATTGAATTGATCTAATATAAAATATTACGACAACTATTAGTAAATAAATATATAATTGGTATATAGCATCATATATATTTATGTTGGATAGAAATGTAAGCTACATGTGAGATAAAGTTACAGGAAATTGAAAGCACATTGATCTTGTGGAGAGAGGGAGAAAATACATTCTACTGAAATATTGAAGTTAAGATTGTAATATAATTATTGTATATCATCATTCCACTAGCGGATTCAGGATTTAATTTTGTGGGCGGGCTTCAGCCCGAAAGATTTTTTTTTTCATATAAAGATAATTAATTTGAAAAAAAAATAAAGAAATTAATTACCTATATGAAATGGTGTTTAAGTTGTTCTTGAAGTAATATTAAATATAATTACACGAATAAGAATACTTTAAGAGATAGTTTTTAATATTTTTTCTGTAAAACATGGTTATATATGACCATTTTAGGGGGAGGGGGCTTCAGCCCGAAACCCCTCCCCCCGTAGATCCGCTTGTGCATTATTCTAATACCATACTGTTGGCTTATAAAATTATGTTTGTTTACAAGGCTCATTCATTGTATGTTTTGGGTTTTCAAGAATTCTGAATCAAGTATAGAACATTTTATATGTAGTTTTGTGGTTAAAATGATATTCAATGTTTATTTATTTACTAATTAATTTATTTACTAGGTTATTTATTTTCACTTCAAAACAACGTTTAAAATGACTGAGACTCCATTCATAACTCTTGACGAAAATCCATAAAATAAAATCTCCATAAGTCTTGTAAACAAATTAGAAATGTATGTGAGTCTAACATATCGTTGCCACCATGTTAACAAATATAGAAAAATATCTTGTTTAATAAGCATTAATTAAATACTAATTAAGTTCAGGGTTCATAACAAAATAAATTAAGATTCATTTCAAGTTGTTTAAAAAAGTGAGGTAATTTGATATCCTGCATACTAATGTTTTCAGCAAAAATGAATAAAATAAATTTTTGCAAAACTTTTTTTTCATTGTCCGATATTTATTATCATAAGCATAAATTCATAAATAAACAATAAATAATCTGCTAACTTTCACTACCATGACAGGTGCGGATGAAGAATTAAAGATAAAAAAAAATAATAATAAACAAATAAATAATTTATTTATAAAAATAAAATGTTCAACAAAATGATTTTTTTTTAAATATTTATTATTTAAAATGGTGATGAAAAATGAGTTTTTTATTCACATATCTATTAAAGAAACTGATCCGTATATTAAGTGATCAACTAAATGTTTGCCATCCTTATATTTACTTTTTAAATAAAGATACCTGGTGATTTCTTGAATTATTTTTATTATTATTATGAATTATATATTATTAGGATAGAAAACGTAAATGTTATAACCCTTTTTAAATATTTTCCTCTGATATCCAGTATCAAAAATATTAAAACATTATTAGACTAACTTAATAAATACAAGAGGTTTTCGTAATCGAAGAAATGTATAATATGACGTTGGGAAAACAGTATATAGAAGAGATAACCAACCGTTGAGAATTCAGACGATAGCAATATAGGGTCCGTCGGAAATATGAAAACGTGCAGAGCGGTTGTGAAAAGGAGGAGAGTCAATGGTAAATATTGGCTGCTTCTAGATTCGTAGCAGTTTTAATATCGGCCTCGGATTCCCTCGTCAATCTTCGTGCCTTCTAATAATAATGATGTCTTATAGGTTTTTATTATTTCTATTTCTCTAAGCATATCCTCCTTTCCATGCAGACGTTTTATTGTAAAAAGAAAATAAAGTGCTTTGTAAAAAAAAAATTCTTATAAATTTACAAATAATTTGATTAATGGAGTGGCGCATCTCAGTGTCACGGCGCTGAGGTTCCAAAGCTCAAAATTAAACAGTTGATTAACTGCGAAAAACTGGCGGTTGAGCGTGATCTCGGTCAAATCACCTCCTTGCACAACTGTTGACCAAGAAACAGTATCTTTCCCATATAACACTGAACCCTAACTAACCCCTTATATATATATATATATATATATACACATTCAAGGTGCCTCGGTTCTTAATGGTCAAACTTTGGGGGTGATCCTACACAAAATTCAAAAAAGTTCATTTGAAACAAAGGAACTCAGATTCTGAACAGAAAAGGAGTTAAATCAATTTTGTGTTTTTCTTAAGGTGGTCGCGTTTCTTATTGAATAAGATGAAATCGCTCAAAATATGTTCAAGATAATCAAATTCTATGTATACCATCGTAAAGTAAAAAATATGTTTTCTATAAAACAGTGATTAAATTGACTAAAGTCAATTAATAAAAGGGGCTGACTTTCAGGAGTACTAATAACGTAAAGAGGCATTTCTCAATAAATCAAGGGTTTCTCGCGTACTATTATTTAACCATTTGTTAAAAAAAAAAGTAATGTTAATGCGTTTATCACAATGGGTTTCGAACCCTTATGGTGTCAGATAATCGTGTAATATCTATCAGTAACTAATACTGTAAAATAATAACGGTGGAAGTGCAGGAAAGTAAAACTACACCTGCATTAATAGAAAGGGAAGGGATTATTGCAAAAATTATATTAGGCTGACAAGAGGGGGTCGGCAACCGTTTGTGTAGTGGAGCTCAGCTCAGTCATTAACTTTCCTTGAATCAATACCCTTCTCATATTCCGTTTAGCATTTTAAAAATAGTATATATAGAATATATAACATTTTTAATAAATGTCAAAGTTGAAAAGAAAAATCGACTATTTTTCCTTACACATTCGATTAATTCTTCCACATCCATTGCATATTTTACACTGAACCAAAATAAAATTTGAGAGGTTGTGCAGTGAAAAAGCGGATAACTTTTGTTTTAATATGTGATAAATAAAACAATTTAAAAAAAAAGCAAAGTTGATCATGTCGGAGCTGAAAAGAAAAATCAATTATTTTCCCTTACACAACTTATTAAGAATTCTTCCGCATCCATTGCATATTTTACCATCAACCAAAATAAAATAATTTGAGAGATTGTGCAGTGAAAAAGCGGAAAAAAAGAATGACACTGAGAAACAAATTCACACGGCTGTGTTACAGTGGTGATATTGAAAAGATTGGGCTCGGTTTTGGAAGCTGACTCTTCCAATTTCGGTGGCTGGTCGGCCATAACGTTTAATTTCTTTGTTGTTATAAAAATTCAACGACGTTGTGGAGACAAGAAGAACAGAAAATATCCAAGTTGAAAGTAAAAAGCCGTACCCCCAACGAGGTAACCTCAAGTTGATGACAAGTAGTCGATGGTGGAAAGGATCGATGTGCATATCATTTTCGATCGATAACTGTCGATTTCACAGCTGTGGGGAGCAAGATGGCGTTATACAAGCCCGTTGTGGTGTGTCTATGCGAAGACTCTCGGCAGTCTTATTACAATATTTTGGTGTCTTAATCATTAAGACAACGTATTACTGACGGGCTGATGCGTACATATCCATATTTAAATCTTGGCTTTTTACAAAAAATAATTATTAAATAAATAATTTGATGTATTTTCCTTTTTTGGAATCCCAACATTATTCACTTAAAATTAGTGTGGCGACTTCTGACCTATCCATGGCAGGCAATGAAAATCTTAGTAAGCTTAACAATGAAAAATAACAGTTTAATAACTTATATTCTTACAATACATAATCATTTATAGGTTAAAAAAATGCACATGTACTTTTTAATCTCTCTAGGCATATATAGCTCAAAGGCTGGAGTTATGTGGTTTACAAAAACAAATGGAGTAACGAGGTTTTCATTGGCTATCATCCATATAATAAATATTGTTTTTGACATTTTTATGGTCTTAATGATTTGGTAGCTGGAAGCTTTAAGCTTAAGATCCGTTAAAAAAAAACTTCAAATATTCAATAATTAATTTTTAATCAACGGTAAATTATCAATCCTATTTCTCCTGATTTTTAGTTATTTTATATCTGATTACCTTTTTAAGGGAAAAAAAATGAATCCAATTTCCTGCTTGGTCCAGATATCGTAGGGAATGGTCCAGAAGCAATATGCCTCAGAAGAAAAATGTATACATACGAAGTTGGGGGGTGATAGATGAAGAAAATTAAACTTATAAAAGAGGGTGAATATGGAAATTGAATTATCAGGCCCGGGAGTTAGTTAACCAAAACGACATCTTGTCTTCAAACCTATTTAGTGCTTTTATTTTCGTTGTTTAACTTTGAAATCACATTGCATTTAAAATTCCCTCTCCATTTTTCTAACATTACCAAACTTTCCTTCTCTCCCTCTCCCACTCTTTTCTCTCTGTGAGGGCAGTTAGAAGGTATTTCGTAAAATATTCATTCCAGTCGAAATAAAGGGACTCCGATGTTGTTCCCGTGGGAGTTCTACCTCAATTTTGTTTTTCTTTAGCTTCCGTAGCGTTTGTTTTTCTTTTCAATATATAGAGATCAGTTCGTTCGGCACATATAACTGTATAGGTTTCCACCTCAATTTTCCACACTACAATATGAATAAAGCTTTTTGTTCATTTCTTTCCTTCTCTATAAGTGAAAAAAACTTTTTTTTCATTCATTTAATTAGAGATAAATAAAAAAAAAACTTAAATTTAGTATAATTTTTAGGAAACAAGGCAGCTCATTAGGTAAGACACTGACTTCCTATAGTTTTATATCTGCTGATGTGTAGGTAATTACTTAATCATAGGTGATAAATAGTCTGGATGCGGTCATTTTTTAAGATTTTTATTAGTACCGACGATTCAAACTAAACATGTGGTTCATCATCAGAGCTAAAAAAATGTTCAATACAATCAGAGATGTAATATTATAAGACAGATAATGGTTAATAAAGAAAAATAGTGATCGATGATACATAAAATATGTAATGGCATGTAGGGACTTGCCGGTCAGTACTATTTAGGGAAAGCACTATTTCTTGATCAAGGGTTGTTCAAGGAGGGGATTTGACCGAGATCACGCTCAATCACCAGGTTTTCTCCCTTGATTAATTATTTGATAAAGGGTACCCACTTTATAGAGGCTGGGTGTCCCCCAGGATGGTATCCTTCTTCCAAGGGTCGCCCCACTGCCAATGAAAGAGAATATTTATTCTGTTTCAATATGTTATACAAACTAAAAAATAATGTGTAGAATCAATTTATAAAAACTGTAATATTTACTCTAACCAAACGTGTTATGAGCACTGATGGTATTCAAGTACTGGCCTGTAGCTATGTAAATGTATTTTTCGTGCTAGGCAATATTCCAAGATTTTTTCATATGCAGAATATAATGGTAACTACCGATCTCGAACCCTCTTTTAACCATGACATCTTGTAGAACCCATATTTCTTCTCTTTTGCCCAGAATATAATCTATAATAGATTTTTTATTTATTCCTGTTTTTTTTTGTAGGATACTTATGTCATTCTTTATGCGAGAATACTATATTCTTAATAACCGGGTCATTTGCCTCACAGAAATTCAAGATCCTTTTCCTGTGTGGATCTCGGTGGAAGAGCGGTGCTAAAAGGGATGAAACGTTGGAACTAATAAAAACCTTTAAAATGATTTCTTTCTGACTATTTATCACCTATGATAGCTAGAATAGTCGGCTGACATCGTTCAATAAGTAATTACTTAATCTGTCACTTCAGCCGTTTATGGATCCTAGGGGTCTAGCGTCCCTTCTGGGACATAGCTAGTCTCTATAAAGTGAGTACTCTTGTTTGAATAATTTAATCAAGGGAA